GGGCTGGCCTGGTGGCGTAGTGGTTAAGTTTGCGCACTCTGGTGCTGCAGGGTTCGTGAGTTCGGATCCTGAGCCCGGACCCATATACCGCTCATCAAGCCGTGCTGTAGAGGCATCCCATATACAAAATAAAGGAAGATGGGCACAGGTGTTAGCTCAGGGCCAATCTTCCTCACCAAAGGGAAAAAAATGTAAAAAGAAATAGCTGAAATTAATTTTAATAATATGTTGTATTTATTTTAGGTCAGTATAACCAAAATATATTTAAAAATTATTGAGATATTTTATATTCTTTATTTCATACTAAGTCTTTGAAATCTGGTGCCTATTTTACTTTTGTAGCACAATGCAAATCAGACAAGCCACATTTCAAGTGTTCAGTAGCCACTGTGGCTCATGGCTACTATGTTGGAGATCGTAGATCTTGCTAGGAGCCAAAGCCAGAAATGAAGTGGCTCTACAGGGAAAGTGAGTTTTATTTTCCCTCCTCTCCCATCCTCATCCCTCCCTCTCTCCGTCTGTCTCTCTCTCTCTCTCTTAGTCTCTCTTTTTCTTAATCTGCTTCCCCTTCGTGAGAGGGATGAGAAGATAACTGACCAGCAGAGACCACAGTGGTTGTGTTATTGGATTTTTGTGGAAAATGAAGGCTGGGATAAGTTTCATAGAAGGACATAGAGGGAGAGGCAGCTCACTAGGAATCTGCAGAAATCATGAAAACAGGAGCAGCTAAAGTGCATTGAGTGCTTACCAGATGCCAAGCACGATTCTAAGCATTTTACTGAGTCATCTCATTTAATCCTCACAGAATCCTAAGAAGTAATTATTTCTTCCATTTTGAAAATGGGAAAACCGAGGCACAGAGAAGTTAAGAAACATACCCAGAGTCACATAGCTAAAGTGTGAACCAAGATAATCTGTCTCTAGAACCCTGCTGTGCTTGTTGTCTCAAAAATTCTTAGAGGAAAAATAAACCTTAGAGAAGGCTTTGGGCTTCCATTGACATTGACTGGGTGGTTTGTACCAAGGGACTAGGGGCGGGGCAGGCCCCAGAGATCATCTGGATGAGCCTGAACCTTGCAACGGTGTTCAGGTTACCTTGTGTGGCAGGTGCACCGCCCAGGCACCATTATTACACCCAGCAGGGCCTCAGTAAATGGCACTTGTTCCCGTCTTCTCTTCAGGCCCATAAAATAAGCCTTTTTAAAGAAGGAGCTTTCTTAGTTTTGTCCACATCTAGATCCACGCCTGCTAGATAGTAGCTGCTCAGTAAATGTTTGTGGAAGCCAGTGAAGATGCGTTGGCATCACCGGGCACGATGATCTCTGAGTCCGCTGGGGGCCTGCAAATGCAACTGTGCCATTATGGGGACACCTTGTAAATACGACCCTGAGGGAAGGGGCCTCATGTGGGACGATGACCGGCTTGTTCAGATCCAGAGTTCTTGCTTTGAGCTGAGGACAAAGGCCAGTTTACATGTCCCATGCCAAAGCTTTTTGTTTGTTTGTTTTTCTAGTAAATTTTTTTTTTTTTTGGTGAGGAAGATCGGTCCTGAGCTAACATCTGCCAATCCTCCTCTTTTTGCTAAGGAAGACTGGCCCTGGCCTAACATCTGTGCCCATCTTCCTCCACTTTATATGGGACGCCGCCACAGCATGGCTTGCCAAGCGGTGCGTTGGTGCATGCCTGGGATCCAAACCTGCGAACCCCTAGCCGCTGTAGTGGAGCGTGCGCACTTAACTGCTTGCGCCACCGGGCCGGCCCCAATCTAGTAAATTTTTAAAATTGCAATGTAGTGTATTATACAAGAAGCAGAGTACAGAAAGCATAAATGTGCAGCTTGATTATTTTTACAAAGGGAGACCACCTATATAACCAGCTCCCAGATCAAGAAATAGGACATTACCAGGCATCCCAGAGCCCCCCGTCCCCCATCACTGCCCCCTTGTCCCTCGTGAAGGTGTCTGCTCTCTTGACTTCTGACTCCATAGACTGCCTTCACGTGTCCACGCTTTTGAGCACACCCCACTGATTGGAGTTGTGGGGGTCATTTGTTTCAGTCCTGCGTCACTGATGGTCACCAGAGTTGGGGGATTGGGGTTGGGTTTCTAACCTGGTTCTGTGCCCATTGCATGGATGAGAAATTGAGGCTCACAGAGGCTGTGCTACTTGCCCGGGTCTCATGGCTTGAGAACAGATCCATGATTCAGACCCAGAGCTGTAGTGTGCCAAGACCCGTGTTTTCGACCATCCTGTATGTTTTCTTCTATGACAGTTTGTCTAAAAGCCCAAGGCTGGAAGGTTCAGGTTGCGATTGCTGGACTGAGCAATATCTGGGGGTGGCTGCTGTGAAGCTGCACCAAATTTATCCCGAAGGCCACACCTCACTCTCCAGGTTGACTTGGCTGGCTGAGCCCATCGCGGGTGGGGCCACAGGAGGCTTCAGCACGTGGGGCAGGCGGGTTCCTCATTGCCCCATGCTTCCCACCTCTGCTTGCTGCTGACAAGTGCGCCCAGGCTCTGGCGAGGGAAGCTTTCAATTAAACAGAGTCAAACTGCTCCCTCCCACTACAGTGAAAGGGCTCTGTGCTGCCAAGTGCGAGCTCAGTGCACTGGTCTCCTGCTCTGGGGGCATGGCTGGGACTGGATTTCAGCACCATCAATGGCTCAGGGGATGGAGCTGGGGAGGGCAACCTCTACCCAGCCTGGAGGCCCCTGGGAATGGCTAGAGGTGGACATACGTATTTCAGGCGGAGGAGCTTTGCTCTCTCTGTGGCACGGCCCTCTGCCCGCACTAGGACAGGTGGTGGCTGTCAGTCTGCAGTTGGCTCCAGCCACAGAGAGATTTGCCAACAGTTCTAGAATGGAGAAACCCCCCAGCCTCTTTGGCCCAGAGACTGCAGCTTGACCCATAAAGCTGTGAGCAGGTAGTTCCCTTAGCCTGGCTTTCTCTCCAGTATGATGGGAGTGGATAGCAGGCAGAAATATGAGCTATTACACTAGGCTCAGTGCCCCTAGGACTGAAATTTAATTCAAAAAGTCAAAATGAAATCACCCCTCTGGAGGCAATGGTTCTTATAAAAATAAAGCCAATATTATTATAATCCTAGCGAGTGAGTTGCTGAACAGTTTACTCTTTGCTGGCTACTGGACCTGATATCAGAGACTGAATAGTGTAGCTCTGAAGGCAGACTGTCTAGGGGTGAATCCCGCTTCCTCTGCTCAGCTGTGTGACTTTGGGCAAGTTACTTGACTTCTCTGTCCCTCTGTAAAACAGAGAGCACAATAGTCCCTACCTCTTAGCATTGTTGTGTGAATGCGTTAATCCGTGCAAAGCACTTAGATTACTGTCTGACATGTTGAAGTCTCAGTAAATGTTCATATAATGATGATGATGAAGATGTGTGTGGAGTGAATTACAGTCTCTGAGTGCTCCAGTGTGCTAGTAGTTTAGTATTCCTGGTTACAGACAAGGAAACTGAGGCACAGACGGGGTCAGTTCCTCTCCCAATGTTTCACAGCCAATACATAGCTGAGGTGGAATTTGAACCCAGAGCTGCCTGACTGCAGGCTTTCCAGGAAATGGCCAGTAAAACTATTATTGGCTTACACAGGATTTATCGCCTAAGGATTAAATTTATTTCAGAAAAGGCACCCCCCCCCCAAAAAATAGTTCCAGTAAAAACAAGATAGATTTACTTTATGATCCATTTAAAGTAATAAACATAGCTAGTGTTTGTTAAGTGAATTGCCCTGTTTCAGCTGCAACATTTCCATTGCCTTGTTATTTGGGTTGTGTTCTAAGAGCTTTGTGAGAACGTTTTGAGTTCAGATCAAACTAGAGGCGCATCTTTTCTCGCCACGGCGGACATGCTCCTGAAAGACGAGATGCCCTGATGTGTGAGGACAGTGGCAGTGGGGTCTTAGGAGAAGTGAAGACCTGCCTCGTCTGTGTCTGCGCCAGGGGTCCTTCACCTGAGGTGTCCTGTCGCCCTGGCTGGCTGGGCCCTTCTGACCTTCAGCCCCTCCTGGGCCTGTCCTCGGGATCCATACCAGCTCTAACAAAGGACCGAATCAGAGAGGGAAGATGAGCTTTCGGGTTTGACCACGGCGGATGGCACAGTGCAGTCTGTGGAAATAACATACTATTTTCTCATTTAAGTTCCCTGAGCAGAGACAGGAAATGAGAGGACCAGAGGAGAGGCATAAAGGAGGGAGAGAGAGAAGAAATAGTTGGGGGAGGGGAGAAGGAATGTCGGTGAGGGGCTGGGGGGCCAGGGGTGGAGGTGAACTTGGTGACTTGTGCTTGCATTTTTGTGACGTGAGAAGGGCGGGGCAACGGCCAGTGAGAGGCAGATCCTAGGCCTGGTAGGAGGGGAAGAGGAGGAGGAATGGGAGATGCAGCCTTGGGAGGGAATGAGAAGGGATCCTACAAGTTTTAGTGCCGGGATTGATTACAGGCCACCTGATGGGGTGTGGTTGATGGGCAGACTGAGCCCACTGTTGACCACACGGCCGGTCAGTGGCCAAGTTTCTTGACTCCTGGTCCGGTGCTCCTTGGTTGTGCCATGTCGCCTCCAGGGCAGTGAGAGGGTGGGCCAGCGGGAGATGGAACAGCTGAGCCCCACCTGCCCAGGGGTTGGGTTGGGGTGTCGGTGGTCATTCCCACTGTTGGTTGCTCCTACATCAGAGCTCCGCCGGGGGGATGCCTGGCTCTCAGTGCCGGAGCAGGGGGGTGGGGAGAGCACCATCTGACACCATTCAGAAGAGACTACACAAGTAAACCCCACAGTGTGTCTCAGTCTGGGAACAGCTCGAGCTCATGGAGGCGTGCCTCTGTCGTGCGCCGCTCACGCCAGGGGAGTTAAAAAAAGAAATACTCACGCCGATCCAAGGGCTTTTTGTGGGCAGGGCAGAAATAATAAACCCAAACACACAGTCAAGCCGTTTCAGGAGCAAGGTTGTGTGCCCTAACCCGGCCAGATTCTGCCAGCTCCAGGAGATAATCGCGGCTGCCGGGGCGGCCAATTCCATGCCCTCCTCAAGGGCCAGCCTCCCTGTTGCAGGGCAGAGGTGAGTGGGCGTGCTTTCTGTTAAAAGGATCTGATTTTAATGTAAAAGGCTTGTTGGTTTGCTTTCCCAGCTTGGTGGGTTCACAGCTCTTCACCGTGGCCCCAGATTCACTCTGGAAGATGCTCCCAGTGTGAGCCGGCCTGGCCTCCCTGTGCCTCATGCTGGGCATCTGGGCCTCGCGTTCCACGAGAACTTGTTGCAGAGACGTGGAAATTCAGGCCCGGAGGTGACTGACTTGCCCAATGCTTGCACACGGCTTTGATGGTGGCGGTGATGGTGATGGTGATGAGGATGAGGATGAGGATGAAGGAAAAGGAGAGCTGCTATTTGCCTAGGTAGCGTGTTCAATTCTGTGTTGGTGGAGACTGTGTTAGTGACAATAATGACTAACAGTTACTGTGTGTCTGCTTTGTGCTGGGCGAGGTTCTGAGCAGCTCTGGGACACTTGATCTGGGATCGACTCTATAAGGCAGATGCTGTGTGCCTATTACAGTGGAGGGGACGGAGGCAGGGTCAAGTCAGAACCTGCATTCTTTCTGCTGAGCCACGAGCTGCCTCATGACCATGGCAGCTTGCTGTGTGTGGCGTGACCCTGTGGGTGGGCGAGTGCCCGGCTGAAAGGTTGGTGACAGGACACACCTCTATTCTAGATCCTTCTTCCTTGGCTCCCAGGACCCGTTGGACCCCTGCTCCCAGAGACACCTCCCACCCCCCTGACACCATCCCTTTCCCAGTGCTGTTTTCTTCTGAGGGATAGTTCAGCTGAGTTAATGCTAATAACCATCACTAGTTATCTTTTAACTTTAGTTATTCAATGCTCTGATCCTAAAAATGTTTTTCTGAAGGTGACGAGTTAAGTCTATTCCCTTCATTATGGATTAGTAATCATGAAAACTGAATATCACTGAAGGTCCTGTCACAAGTGTAGTTCATGCAGTGAAAAAATCTAGTATTTCAGGGAAAAGTTGCAAAGAGAAAGAAAAAAAGGAGGGAGAGAAGAAAGACCTCTGTTTGTGTGTGTGTTTGTATGTGTGTGTGTGTAGTGGGGGGGGTCAGATTAGCCTTAAAGTAAGAAATAAGCTTGAAATTGAGGATGCAGTTCAGATGCCACCTGCTCTGAAGCCTCGGCTGTTTACCTGGGCACATTCGGGTACGTCTCCTCCGTCCTCCGGCGGCACCTATGTTCTGACATCCGTGGTCGTACTTGCCAGGATATATGGCAACTTGGCCATTTCCATGTCCTTCCACAGGGGCACCTCCTGGGCTGGGGCTGTGTCTTGTCCTCCCATTACCTGACTCAGTGCTGGCACATAGTAGGCACTTAGTAAATGTTCGTTGAAATGACTTAGTACATGAAAGTTTTGTGAGGGAGGACCTTTGTTTTGCTCTGCCTGTGGAGAGCTCTAAATACTCTAGGTGCTCCTTTCCAGATTTCTATTACCCATATGGACCGGGGTCAGTCTTAACTGCCAAAATGATCATAAATATACTCTAATTTGAGCAAATGGGATACAAGCCACTGACCATTTAATTAATCTGTTTGTGTTATCAAATAAGCTTTTATGGGGCTCCTGAGTGCAGAACATTCTGTTTGGCAGGTGGTATACAAGAGGAGAGAGCAGCCAAGGATGTGGGCTTTGAAACCAGACCACCAGAGGTCAAGCCCGGGTTAGACGCTCTCTTCTGGCTTTAGGTGGTGTTAGTGGGTAAGAGAGCACAGATTCTAGGTCTAGGTTTGAATCCCGTCTCCACCACTTACAAGCTGTGTGACCTCAGGCAAACTTCTTAACCTTTCTGTGCCTTACTTTGCTCTCATTAAAATGGGATAGCTTCATGAGGTTGTTGTGGGGTTAAGATCATTGAGGGGCTTAAACGAGTTTATATATGGAAAGCACTTAGAACCCTCTTGGTATTTGTTATTGATATTATTTGCTTTTAGTTAAGCTTCAGTGTCCTCATGTGTAAAACCTGACTTTTTAGTGCATGAGTCTTCAAAGAAGTGTGTTAAGGATTGTATTGGTTTCCTGTGGCTGATGTGACAAAATACTACCACAAACTGGGGGACTCAAAACAACAGAAATGTATTGTCTCACAGTTCTGGAGGCTAGAAATCTGAAACCAGGGTGTGTCAACAGGGTCCTGCTCCCTCTGAAGCCTGTAGGGCAATCCTCCTGCATCTTCCTAGCTTCTAGTGGTTTGCAGGTAATCTTTGACATTCCTTGGCTTGTAGATACACCACGCCAATGCTCTGTTGTCACATGGTGTTCTCTGTGTGTCTTTCTTCACATGGCCATCCTCTTATGAGGACACCAGTCATACTGGATGAAGAGCCCACCCTTCTGCAGTGTGACCTCATATTAATTACATCTGCAATGACTTTGTTTCTGAATAAGGTCACATTCTGAGTTATTAGGGGTTAGGACTTCAGCATATCTTTTCTAGGAGGACATAATTCATCCATAACAAGGATGAAAGGAGAGAAAGCGTGTGAAGCATTGAGCGGAGAAGCTAGAGCAGAACAGGACCAGTAAACGTCAGCTGTGCCTGTTCTGGTTGTTAGATGCTGTCGTCGTCGTCACGATGACTGCCCTTTGCTGGGTGGCTGTGGGCAGTTCTCTGGATGTCTTTGAACCTCAGTTTCTCATGTATTAACTGTGAATGGTGTGGTCCAACTTGCAGGGTGAGTGTGTGCTGGTGGTCCAGACACGCGGTGCTCTCTGTGCATGCTGTCCCTCCTTTTCTGGTGGTGCTTCGTGGCTCAGTGAGGACAAGCCCCCATCAGTGCCACCACACAGACCAGAGAACGCTCCTCTGTCCCCTCATGTCCAGACGTGAGCAGGTGTGGCCTTTCCAGACCCCAGGTCCTTTGCATTCAGGATGGAAAAAGATATATTTTTCCTACTTGGAAGCTGAACAGATTTGCTACAGAGAAGTTTAGATATCTATGGAAACAGTACTAATTTTAGCCTTGCCACACTTAATGCCAACTCGGAGAGTGCAGTATTGGGTCAGGGCCCAGAGAATGGGGAAGGTGAGCAGGCCTGAAAGGGTCAGAACAAGCACGGAGTAGCCAACTGACAAACAACAGTGGGAGGATGCTGCAGAAATCTAAGTGGTTACCAAGGGGCTGACTCCAAGGAGAAAATGGGTCCGAAGAGAGGGGCCTGGAGAGATGAGCATTTATCACAAATTAGTATTTTGAACCAAGGGATCTCCCTCACCTCTCGCCTCTCGCTCTCCCTGTCTAGATTCTGCTCACGTTCAGTCCAGTTCAAGACCTTTCTTTCCCACCTTCCGAATCAGCCACTCCGGCCTGAATTCCAGTCATCTTTTATAATTCTTTTGAGGCACTTATAGTAGCCCATTTCGTTTTGACGTTAATCCATGTACCTTGCATTCCCCCATTTGTTTTTGAGCCCCTCAAGGTGAGCCATGGTCATTGTCATGTCTGTATGCTGAGCCTGCCGTGGAGTAGACCTGCAGAAAGTGCATAAGGATTGGTCATTTCTGGTTGACCAAACCAGGGGTGGACATTAAATGAGTGAGTGTAATAAAGCGTAAGAAACACTTTTGATGGGAAGAATCCACTTGGATGGGAACGGAAATCACCTGTAGTTCTGTTCAAGACATGCTGGGGAGGGCCACAGGCCAGAGGAGGCCATGGCATGGTGGATATTGAGTGCGATGGGATGAGGGAAGAAATGGACGGAGATTATTTTAGGCCATGTGGGGAGCGTTACCTCCCTTGCGTTAGCCCTGTCCTCCTGGCCAGGTCAGCTCTTAGCAGGAATCATCGTAGAATATCAGATGCAGGAAGGACCTTAGACCTCATGTAAGCCTATGTGTTTTGAAGTGTGATATTCAAGACAAGCATTTTTACCTTAATACTTGGTGATTTATTTTAATGTGCATATATAAACCATATATAGCAAGCACCCTAAACCTGTCATTTCTCAGGTGTTACTGCTTAGGGTGAGGCAGGTCACGGTAGCTCCTTCTCGCAGACCCGGTGGATGACAGGGTGGTGTTCCCACATGCCCATGAACATGAGACCTGTAATAAGCGAACGTTCCGTTGAACCGTTGGAAGTAAGGCTTATGCAGATGGGAGAGTTGCTTCTCTGAATTCTGCATTGAATTTCTGTATGCCTTGTACTCTTTACAGCAGGATGAAAAGCAACATGATTGTGGTAAAATTGGGAAGGTAGTGCGCAAGAGATTTGCAGGGTGGGCCGCAGGGGTTCGGTTCAGCTCCCTCCTTTGAATGAGAAGGAGGTGGATGAGGCGGAAGTAGACCAGATGGCCCTGATAGATAGTGAACACTTTTAGTTACCTCATTTAGTCCCACTGACAACATTGTGGTGATGAAGCAAACACTGTTTTTTCTTATGACACAACAAAGGGGAGGCTGAAACTGAAGGACTTGAAATAATCTGCTGTGGCCTGCCCTGCTGGGAAGAGGTAGATCTGAGGATTCAACAAAGCCCCCTCCCACGAAATTAGCTGTGTCAGGGAGCCGCACACCTCCCCAAATGAGCTTTTAGGTTTTGGAAATAGAAACACATGCAGAGTTGTGGTTCCATTTGCCTCCTCCCGGGAGAGCTCTGCCTGGTGAGGAATAGGTAGGGTGAAAGGGATAATTCGGCACTTGTGTGTGGTGATGGGTTGTAATTAGTATTTGGGTGGTGAACATGATGTAATCTATGCAGAAATAGAAGTATAATGATGTACACCTGAAATTTATACAATGTTATAAACCAATGTTACTGCAATAAACAAAAAATTAAAAAAAAAAGTAATATAGCAGACAATCAACCAATCAATAAAAAAACAATTAATTAATGTAAAAAAAAAATAGGGCCAGAATGCAAGTTGCTCAGGCCAGCAGGTGAGTCTGAGGGCTGGTGGGAGTTTCCTGGGCAATGGGATGTCTCCCACTAGGGTGTCTGTTCGCCCAGGGCCGGCGAAAGGCCGTTTGCCTGCTGGGAGAGGTGACTGCTG